CTAAAGATAATACAATAATAATTAAAATTGTCGCCTTTACACCAGAATGGAAACAAAAATCAGAATCTATATACAGGTAATCCCCGTATAACACGGTAGTTACGTTCCAAAAAATTGCCGTGCTATGCGAATCCGTGTTATGTGAAACAAAGAACTAGTACGAAAAAAGGGATAGGTTTCAATAATTAAAAAACATGCTACTATATTTTCATAATTAAGATAAATATCTTTATTAAAATTTTTTTAAGTGATAGATATTAATATAAATTAAACAATGTTTTCTTTGCCATCACTAAAAGCACTATTAACCGAGAGCGTTTTTTTTGGCAAGTTATCGTTATCCTCTAGCATTTTTCTGCAATATTTTAAGATTCAATCTTTACCTTTTGCAAAAAGTATTTTAGATTGCTTGCTTCTAGTTAAAAGATCTTTAAAAATATCCTTATATGATGCTAAGCACTTATGGAATAAGGGAAAAACATCTGGCAACATCAGAAGCAGAAGCGTCGAGATCTGGCAAATTTTAACAATTTTTCGCGAAGGACCATATGTGTGGAAGCGAGAAAAGAAAATTTACATACTTAAGTACTAATAGTTCACGAAAATAATAATTTTCGTGAACTATTATTACTTAAGTATGTAAAAATTTATTACATTTCCTGTTGTAAGAGGATTTAGCCAATTCTCAAACCGTGTCAGAGTAAATCCGTGCTATAAAAGTACCGTGTTATACGGGGGATGGTACCAATTCTCGAACCGTGTTAGAGTGAATCCGTGCTATAGAAGTGCCGTGTTATACGGGGGTTACCTGTATATAAAATGGCTTGTCCTGACTGACTGAATGACTCACTCACTGATTCATCATCTCCGAGAGCAAACCGCTGGACCTAAACAGGTGAAATTTGGTACACAGTTAGGGTACGTCATGAAAACGCACACTAAGAAGAGATTTTTCAAATTTCCCAAGTGAGGGAAGATGGAGAGCATTAAGGCTTAACCAGAAAAACGGCTTCTACTGTACTATTTTAGATGCGATTTTTCGTTTTTATCTGCGTTGTAGTAGAATATGCCATGAGAATGCACACTAAGAAGGGATTTTTCCAAATTATCCCTCGGGAGAGAGGGAAAGAATTTAATCTTCATCGAGTACTTAGGTGTATAAAATTAATAACATTTCAGATATTGTTATAAATATTTTTATGTATTTCGATTTTTAAAATGTTCGAACCGTTTTAAATTCGAATTTGTTATTGCATATTGGTTCGATTATAAAACGATTGTAAACGTTCCAAAAAATTAATTAAATTGAAAATAGTTCATTTGATTCTCGGCAATTTTCATCATTCTCAGCGGTAGATGTTATATAACAATTACTATGGTTGTTGAAATACTAAATATAAATGGGGTTTGCTTGCAAAATTCGTGCGGGCAAAGCCGCGGGTAACAGCTAGTTAAAAATAAAATCATATCTAATTTAAATCGAATAAATTAAACATTAACATGTTTTAAAAAACCGTTTAATATATGTTTTGAAAATTTCAAATTGTAAATATGGCAGGTCTACAGCCAAAAATCTTCAAAGACTAAAGTAGCTGAATATTACTAATCCAAGGGTTTTGAATACGAAAATGATAATAAAAGTGTTCACTTAGCTTTAGTTTTCATTATTTCGAACCAAATACGTCAACTTTTTGGAAAAATGTGCCATTTTTCTGTAGTTTTTAAATGTATTCCTACACAGCTTGAATTACATTTTCTTGAACGTCTATGAAAGGAAAAACAATTCATTTTTTCTGTTAATGAATTTCTGTTCTCCTTTCTAGTTCAGCCAATGACTACAAGAGAACAGCAATGTGGCCGTGCTTCAAGCATATATTGCTTCTTTCGTCAATTGGCATGATGCTTCTTGTGTACAAACTCACGCAGTGCAGTGAAGTAAAACGTATCTTCGCTTTGTATTCTCCAGTTTATCAGTATGTGCGAAAGAAACGTTATTTCTTACATAACATGCCTGGCTGCAAATTTTAATCACATTTTTAATTTATTTAAATTAAAATATCAATATATGTTTTCCATCTCAAATTATTGGTGGCTTGCTCCTGCACATCATAAATTTTTTTCAATAAAAACTAAAATTTAATTAATGCTAAATAAATTAATTCAAAAAGTAATTAAATATAAAGATAATACAATAATGATTAAAATTGTCTCCTTTACACCAGAATGGAAACATAAATCAAAATTAAAAATAATATCATATCTAATTTAAATCGAATAAATTAAACATCAACACGTTTTAAAAAACCGTTTAAAATCTGTTTTGAAATTTTCAAATTGTAAATCAAATAACGCAGAGTCGCTTTGTATTCTCCAGTTTATCAGTAGGTGTTCGTAAGTTGAAAAATGCCCCGCAAATGTGTTATTAATGTTTACAATTTTTGTTATATTTGTAGCGAATTCACGTGTGCTTTGCAAAAGCATAATATCACTCTACTTGTTAGCAAAACATACAAATTGTATTACAAATGTAAACTCAGATGTAAGCATGGGCCCCACATGTATGTTGCAACCACTGTGCAACTGCTTTTCGTCAGTAGCTGAAAAGCAAATGTGTTCCATGAAATTTGCAGTGTCTATGGTATGGAGGCAGTCCACAGACCTTGTACATTACTGTTATTTTTGTATGGTACCTCCAGTCAGTAAGGGCTGCTCGAAAATAAAAAATAGACAATAAAATATCCCAAATAAATTGAAATAGCCCAGCATTTAGTTTTCTTAGAGAGACATTTCCAGACATTAGTGAGGCAAAAGTTAAAGAGAGGATATTCGTAGGTTCACAGATTTCCGAGCTTCTCAAAAATGCGCACTTCGATAGTATACAAACAGGTGCTGAAAAATAAGCTTGAAATGCTTTCAGAGTGGTGGTAAACAATTTTCTCGGAAACCATAAAGCTTCTAATTACAAACAACTAGAGAAAATAACATGCTGTCACGTTGTGAAAAGATAGGATGCAACATCTCATTGAAAATGCCTTTTTTTTCCATTCTCACATTGACTTTTTCCCTGGAAACTGTGGGTCCTTCAGTAACGAACAAGGGTAACGTTATCACCAAGACATTGCTTGTATGGAAAAACGATATAAAAAAAATTGAGTCCATCAATGTTAGCAGACTACTGCTGGAACATTAAGTGTGAAACGCCTGCAGATTCATACAAGAAGTCTGTAAAGAAGCGTCATACATACGACTGATCTCATGGGTATTTTATGCATTCACTGTTTATTTAGCTTTTATGTATCAAGGAGTGTTCTAACTAGAATGAAAATTACATTATCTGTACCGTGAAATATTTGTATTCCACGATATAATGCAGAATACCGCTTCTATCATGTTTTAAATCGATTTAAAACATGATAAAAGCAATTTTATAACCTAAGCGAAAATAATTTATAACAAAGGCAATAAAAGTAAACAGTTCTGACAAAACTGATTGTTAAATATCTAGGACAACATTTTGCTCAATACAATTAAACAGTAACCTTGACATCTGACCCACTTTTGACAGGGAAGGGAGTTATTGTTTACAGTATAATATGAGAGTACACGCGTTGTTGTCATTAACAGTGGGAAGTGGGTGCAGCTCACTGGACACCCTGTTGTGAAAGTAATAAACTTTAACTGACCTTCACAGATGTCTCTAGTTACTAAGAATAACAAGCGCGGAGCAGTTATTTAAACGGTAATAAATCACTTGGCGGTTCATTAAGTGACTTCTCCTGCTCTACTTACATTACCGCAAAAGCATTAAACAATTAACACTAGACTTTGGAACACCATCTATTCCTCTCCGATTACAAAGGAACCCACCACAATGGGTGAAAGTTGTTATAATCTAGTTTTACAGCTGTATCGTCTTTAATTACAAAAAAATAAACGTAAATAAAACAAAATAAAGAAAGAAAAGTATTACAATAACATATTCATTCATAATTCTTGATCAGTTGCAAGCACATTTACGATTTTAAAATAAAAACGCTGACGCTAAGCATTAAAAAGCGATGAGCAATTAGTATTATCGACATACGGTGCTATAACGCGTCCTTCTGATCGGTTTCGCGCTTCCATTGCGCGAAATCGGAACAGTTCTCCTGGAACCTCATTGGTGACAGGTAGCACGCTCTGACGTCAAAGATGAGCAGCTTCCTGAGCTGCGCAGTCGTCTCACGCATAGTCAATTTCTTTGCACTAAGCCGTGCATATTCATATATCTGTTATGCAATGTATTAAATGTTAATGTACCTTGTAAACTTGAGCTAATTCTGTGTTTTATAATCATTTTTGAATTCATTAAATCGAAATCTTTAAGAAACAGCTCGTTTCTTAATGAAAACTTTTTATTTGTAGACATGTGTAATTTTAAATTTTATGTTACTTGTGTGTGGGAGTGAAAGAACAGTTTCTTTTTATATTATTTTTACATTATTTTTACGTAATTTTTAATAATTTTTATCTTTATATTAATATATATATATACATAAAATTATTAAAAATAATGTAAAAATTAAAAGTTACTTTGTATATCTGTATTCTGTATGTAATTGAAGGTTATTACTCAAAAATCAAACTTAAACAATAGTTGTTAACTTTATAAATTTGATTTTTCATACAGTATGGATGTCATTTATACTTATCCCCAACATGTTGGTTTTTATTTCGGTGGGGACAAAAAACATTTTGGTTTTAATATATACACAGATAATATATATGCAAACTTTTTATCTTTGCTTCCTTAATAATTAATTTTTGTTTATCTCTGTTGAAGCAGTAGATTTTTAAATTTCGACTTGTATATTTTATTCACAAATATGAAAGAGTTGAATTTTAAAGATACTCGAAGAAACAGAATGAATTTCAGATAAATGCTTTAAAATATTCAACCAAAAATTTCACCATTAGAAAAAGTTAATAATATAATACCACTACCCATTTGAAATACTTACATTTTCCTTCCATATACTTTATGCTTTGCAAAAGTTGGCTGTAGATTTTCCACAGAACATAAATTAATACTAAAAAAACAAATGTCGAAATCAGAAGATAAGGACACAGAAATGCTTGAACAAGAAAGATGCCAACAAGTAGACAGCATCCCTAACATAGAAAAATATATGATATTATAATAAATAAACTTATAAACTGAATTTATAAATAAATTTATAAATTCAGATTACACAAATTAACTTACTTATATGTTTTTACTAGTCTAAAGCCGTGTCGTTTATCTTATTTGTTTCTTAAGCGCTATGTAATGTAATTAATCGATCACTTGACATTTCTTTGTCTGTTTATTTGCAATTGAGTTTAGTGATCGAATAATTACATTACATAGTGTTAAAGAAACAAAATTATGTATATGTATTTACGAGTGACTCAATGTTATATTAAATAGAAAAGGATCTACTGTTTTTATAATATTGCGTCGTAAATATCATACCACTTGAAAAGTGCATTATTATTTTTATTATTGATCACTTATTTTATTTTAGGCAGTCATTTTATTTCTTACTGCCAATAGAATATAAACAGATGTAAACTGAGCTGTAATATGATATTAATTGATAGTTTCGAAAATTTTATTTCAATAACCTTAATTTATCTTAGCAATCGATGAAATGACTTCCCTCTTCATTAGTAATGTATTGAAAGGACCATTATTGGTTCCTCTAAATAGTTAAAATCAGTTAGATCACTTAATCTGATCGCATCCACGAACCGGATTTTCGTGGTGTCGAGTCATATATTCTATGATTGAAGGAAGAATTTGAATGTCGTTATTACTAGTTTATTTACAGATAACTACAACTTTATGTACAGAAGGTTATAACAACGTCGATCATGTAGACGAAGGTCGGAGCACTCAGGACGGACGTCTGAAACGAAGCATATCGAGTCGAAAAGTGGTCAACCTCGAGTTCAAAAAAGTAAGGCATTGTTTTAAATATTTAGAAAACTCTTTTTTTGGTAAAGTAAATATAAAATTTTGTACATCTTAAATATAAATATTTATCTTCACATTTACGTTAAATTGTAGCTTACGGTGTGTGTTTTAGAAGTTGTGAGTTACATTTCTGTATAATATACAAATTGTATTTAACTCAGAGTTATGGCTTAGTAACCTGAGATCTTACTTACATGTGTAATTTTAGGCTATAATTTATGCAAATTTAAATACTGTAAATGAACGTATACTTACCCTTATCGTAATGTAATAAAAGAGAGGTAAGGTATCATCCATCATGTTAACATCTTTGGAAAACCGATTTAAGATATTACCTACAAATATCAAAATATGATATATTCATTAAACTGAATCATTATTTAAAACGTATTTATTATAATATGATTATTATCTATGGAAATTCCATACACATAAATCTACGATCAAAGTTTCAGGATTAATCTGTTCATTGTTTTCATTTGTCAAACTTTGTGTAGTCTGCACGTTTATTACTACATTCCATTTAATCTTTACTTATCGCTTTATTTTCTTCCCATATTTACTGGTATGGGTGCGATTTTACTATCATCCATATTAAAAGAATTTCTTTATAATACGAACATTAATTTTATCTTGAACAATTGTGTACTACTTTATATTCATTTTTCTTTTTCATGCATGCTCTAATTATGAACAAGTCATCTGTAAAAGACGTTTCGAATATATGTTGAGCAAGCAGAGCAAATTAGAATTTGGTGCCTATCACTTTCATAAAGGTGAGATTTTGGATGTTATTCATTCTCTTCTGATGTAACTTTCAAAAACATATCGCAAACAATTATCATTATATGCTGGCACAAATGAATGACTTACAGTATATGACCATTAATAACCCATATTACTAAGTTTATTAATTTCTGTCGGATATGTATAAAAACACGGTTTAATATTGAAACTGTGGTACGCATGGGTCATGTCAATTCGTAAAGATCTGGTCCTCGAGTTTCTGTCAAACTGATCTGGTCCTTGAGTTTTTGTGCAACGTTAACATTTTTCATTGTATTACAGGGTTGAAGCTATCAAACAGATATGGAAAAAGAGGAAAATAATGTTTAAAAACATGATTTTCTTCTGAGGTAGAAATTAAAAAGAATGTTATAAAACATTTCAAAAATTCTATTAATCTCTATCCTAATTTTGTTGATAATATTAATTTAGGATTAAAATAAATGACTTTAACAACTTATTAAATATGATTGCATTATTCTTAGTATTAACTTAAGATTAAAATAAAAGACTTTAACAACTTATTATATATGATTACATTATTCAAATACTTACAACTTAATTTTATAAATTATTATTTGCTGCTATTCATTGCAACTTTTCATTCACCAGTTGTATAAACGTACAAATATTTATTTATAAAATTTCTAATTTGATTTTGAAATGCTAAGTAACTAATATTCATAATATGGTAAATATTATTTAAGTTTTATACAGAACAGTTGTTCATCATTTTGTATTTTGAAATTTTCGCCTGTGTTATTGAAATAAGTTTTTGAATTTTATTGAAGAATTTTTAACTTAATAAATCAAATCGATATATCATACATACCAATGGGATTGTTATCTAGAAATGATATTGGAGTTCGAGTAATACAATGCAACATGTTTCTATGGAGCTTGATAGATGCTGTTGTAAAGAATTTGTATAACAATAATCCAGACAGTAATGAGGTTAGTACTACTGCACATATCCATCCAAAGTAAACATATATATTGAACGCTTCACTTTGATAGAAATTTGTTTCTTCATTATTGCTAAATATTGTTGTGTCAGATGTTACATTTTTAAGTTTCTCTATATCTTGGCTGTGAATTCTTGTATCTGTCAACCTGAAATTAAACACGAAATAACAATTTAATTTGCTTAATTTTTTAATACATCTTTATCGAAATAAATTATAACGAAATGCAATAAATGAAGCAACTACCAATAAATAATATTTAAGTACAGTAGGAAGGTGTTATACTTCATTGTAAGAGTAGAAAAACATTTATTTTCTTTGGGAAAGTAATAGACCAGGCCACAATCCTGGAGTAAAAGTCAATAATCTGCTAATTGTTTTATTGTTCTGTAAATAAAAATTACCTTCTTTGTTAGAAGATTGTCAAATGACAAATTAATTCTTTTATCGTAAATGTTTTTTTCTTTAAATAAGACAACTAATATTGACAGAACCGATTTCTGAAATTTAATATTAATTTTTATTAATATAGTCACACAGTTTAAGAAATCGAAGACAAATTTCAAAGTATATATCGCTGTAAATATAGAAAACATTAGAATTTGTGGCTGATTGTTGAAACAAGGAATGAACTTTTTGAAACGATATGCGAAGTAAACATATCAAGAAAATATTACGTGGACCACTGAAATCTAATCGATTAACGACATTACGTCTAATGAGCACATTAATAGCTTTTAAAAAAGATTTAATAATATTTCGAAAAATCCATAGGTGAAAGTGAGTAAATGATACTTTTATGTAATAAACGAAATTTTTAATCATTAAAAAATTGGAATTATTTTTCATTATGCATTGATCACATGAATTTCAAATTTTACACAACAGAGTTGATTGCATGTACGTATGTATTGCATGTATGTATGTATGTATGTTGTTTGTTGATTGCATTTATGTATGTATTGCATGCGTATGTATTGCATTTTCTCTAAGTCAAGAAAGTTAGAAAGCTACTGATATTTTTCAGATTTTTCAAAATTTTACAAAAAATCTACTCTTATAACAAAGATATATGGAATTTCAAACACACCATACGATTAAAGTAATTGAGTTTAAATTATACAGATAAATTTAACACTTTCCATTTATATACAAAATGAATGTACTTAAATTCTTCCAAATTAATTGACATGATTTTTGTTCAAAATTTTATTCACTATTATTTTAAATTTAAACTTTCAACACTACACAAGATTATATACAAAGCGATAGAAATAATATATTTATTCCGACATCCAACTGTTTTCACAATGAACTAAAGTTTCTTATCTGCTGAAACGATTATCATTGTGTATTAGTTTCAGTTAAATATTTCAATTTAAAAAAAAGCAGTCATTGCATAAAACATTACATTGAATATGAGGAAACCGTACCATTTGATTAGCCAATAGTCGCTGCCACATATAATAGATTGTGATACAAATAGCGTTACTAATATAGTAATTTTCATAAAGATGTCGGCTCCAGCATTTACATATTCTTTATAAACTGAAATTCTCACTGTTTCAAGTCTTTCGTCTTCATTTAATATTTTGTTGTTTTCATTTACCTACGGGTGATAATTCGAAAAATTTTGAAAGTTATTCGTTGAATTAGACTTAAATCTGACACATAATATTTTCTTATTACTCTTCGAAAAAATGAAATGATAAATTATACATATAATGCTAAATTTAATATCAACTAATTCACACTGGTAAAAAATTATTATGTGTTGTATTGGATTCTATTATAAAAAATGAAAAATCAAATAAATTATGATTTCAATACAAATGAATAATTTTAAACACACTATGTCACTATTTTTCTTATACAATTGCTTTTTTATGACTGAACTCTCCCTTTGCTGAGTAGAAGACTTTCCTGTTCATCAGCTAATCCGTCAGATGTAATGAAAATTCAAAATCAAATATGACGTATTATGTAAAATATGATTTTTTAAATAATTAACTTTATTAAAGAAATAACTTTGTGTTAAAATTAAACTTATCTAATTTATGAGTAAATATTATTAATATTTCATGCACTAAATAGTTGATAATAAAAAAGTTACGTTGTATAGCAAATATTAGACGAAAATTACAGATTGCTGACAAACTCTCAACGTTCACTGAATTGATAATAAAATTCTATTAAAATAGCCACTTCTGAAAACGTGTTTTATTTTGCTTAACACTAAAAATGACAGCTCTGCGATTCAATTTCTAATGTTAATATAACTATGAGTAATTAAGTATGGCACAACGTAATGTTTATAAATTAGTTATTAATATTTATGTCTATAGGCGAGTAATTTAAAAATTTACAATATACAGGAAATAAAAAAATCAATCAAAGAAGAAAACTTCAGTTAATCTACTCTGAAAGTATTAACGTAGATAATTGTTTCTTACTATAATTCTTACTAATTGTTTCTTATTGTAATTCTTACTATATTTCTTATTATAATACTTAAATAATTCTTACTATGTTGTTACGATCTTCAATATCATCACAAATTTGAGATTGAATACTTTCAATTTTGTCTTCATTGTTGAAAATTGTTGTTTCTACTTCCATGCTATTTTCAATAGTTTTTTGATCTGACGAAATATTTGTAAGTATATTTCGATTCATCATTTCAGTGTAATTGCCAAAATATTCACATGTTCCCTGAAATACGATTACGATATATATAAGTGCATTTGCATGAAAACCTTTACTACATCAAAATAATAATAAACTTAATAAATATATACAAATAAGTGTTTGGCTTTGAAAATATACTTTCTTTCCAATTTTTACCGAATTTATACATAAAACAAATCTAATTACGAGTGTTATATACAGAGAGTATTATAGAAAGCAATCCCTATTCTGTATTTACAAGTGGCTGTGGAATGACGCACCCTTGTATTCTCTAAAATATAAATACATATTGTGCGATTATTTTCATATTTTAACGTACTTTGAATTACAGTGAAAACTGCTTAGGCGACCACCCGCATTCGACGGGCACCTGTCAAAACGGGCAAAAATTTCTGACATGGAATAGTTTACCCATAGAGTCTGTGTATAAGTTACCTGTATTAAACGACCACCTGTGTAACGCGACCGCGGGCATCGATTTTTGGTCCGAAACAACATATAACACCTGTAATAATCGACCACTTTCGTGAATGTTTCTGGTCTAAACTATTGTAAGAACCCATCTTAACAACGTTTCCCCCTCCTAATATAATAAATTAGTCTAAACTCTTGTTCGAACCCATCCCGGGCACTTCTCCCACCCTTGAAATTAGGTGCAGGTGTTAATAAATTAGTCTAGCAACAAAGAAAATTCATTTCAGTTTGTTGGAAAATGTCCGAAAAACGAAAGAAATGAGCTGTCGTTAGAAGATCGTATTAAAGTTATACAACAGCAATTAGCGGCGAAGTTTAACTGTGGGAAAACGAAATTGATTTTACCATAGACCTACAGTATTTTCCTTGGGGGTGTAAAATATTGTACACGATACAATTAATCGGCCGATCTCATCGTTTGTTAAAATCTATTTTTATTTATTTATTTTGAAGCTCATATACAGTACATGCGCGATAAATAGTTTCTGTATCAACCTAGCTTATTTCCACGATATTTTTNACCAAAATAATAATAAACTTAAAAATGTATGCAAATAAGTGTTTGGCTTTGAAAATATACTTTCTTTCCAATTTTTACCGAATTTATACATAAAACAAATCTAATTACGAGTGTTATATACAGAGAGTATTATAGAAAGCAATCCCTATTCTGTATTTACAAGTGGCTGTGGAATGACGCACCCTTGTATTCTCTAAAATATAAATACATATTGTGCGATTATTTTCATATTTTAACGTACTTTGAATTACAGTGAAAACTGCTTAGGCGACCACCCGCATTCGACGGGCACCTGTCAAAACGGGCAAAAATTTCTGACATGGAATAGTTTACCCATAGAGTCTGTGTATAAGTTACCTGTATTAAACGACCACCTGTGTAACGCGACCGCGGGCATCGATTTTTGGTCCGAAACAACATATAACACCTGTAATAATCGACCACTTTCGTGAATGTTTCTGGTCTAAACTATTGTAAGAACCCATCTTAACAACGTTTCCCCCTCCTAATATAATAAATTAGTCTAAACTCTTGTTCGAACCCATCCCGGGCACTTCTCCCACCCTTGAAATTAGGTGCAGGTGTTAATAAATTAGTCTAGCAACAAAGAAAATTCATTTCAGTTTGTTGGAAAATGTCCGAAAAACGAAAGAAATGAGCTGTCGTTAGAAGATCGTATTAAAGTTATACAACAGCAATTAGCGGCGAAGTTTAACTGTGGGAAAACGAAATTGATTTTACCATAGACCTACAGTATTTTCCTTGGGGGTGTAAAATATTGTACACGATACAATTAATCGGCCGATCTCATCGTTTGTTAAAATCTATTTTTATTTATTTATTTTGAAGCTCATATACAGTACATGCGCGATAAATAGTTTCTGTATCAACCTAGCTTATTTCCACGATATTTTTAGAAAAATAATGTCCAAGTAATTTTCACAGGCAAAATATTCAAAAACACAATAAAGGCATTAATGCAAAAATCAGTTTTACTTTTTTTTGATTCTGCGATTGCAATGAAATCGTACAACGAGAAAAAATAATAAAATTGTTTTATTATTAATTAATAATGTTTCTTATTGTACTTAATTAATTAAGAAAATATTAAATATTAAAAAATACAGTATTTTTAAAGTTAAAATAAGATTAAACTAACGAAAACCAAAAGCAACGTGATGGAGAGATAGGACGTGCTTGTATATTGATGACGTAATACACGTAACTGAGGAGAGAACGAAAAGAACCGAGTCGAATTAATTAAGTCGGAAAAAATACAGTGTGCATTATAATGAAGAAAATGCGAGTATTGTATTAATCTTTAAAATAAAATACAATACCAATATAGCCCTCTCGTTGAAAAAATTCGCTTATTTTTGCTCACCTCGAGTTTTGCTTAGTAGAAATAGCTAAAAAGTACGCAAAATACGTACGGAAATACGTTATTACAGGACCACCTGTATTGGACGACCACCTGTCTAAAAGACCACTTTTTGAAGGAACCGTGGGTGGTCGCCATAGTCAGGTTTTACTGTACTTAAAATTAGTATTTTATTATAACCGTATTATGTGTTTTATTACAAATCTCTATACATGTGAAAAACAATGATCCGATTGCCATTGTATATCTATACTAATATTATAAACAGGAAATGTTTGTAAGTATGTATGTATGTATGTATGTATGTAAGTTTGTTTGCAGCAGGTAATCTCCGAAACTACTCATCCGATTTCAAAAATTCTTTCACCATATTTAGAACGGAATCTCAGGGTGGACATAGTCTGTATATTATTCCGTTAAACATTCATATAAAATAAAATATATAATCTAGGTTAAGGCTGTTATGTCCAACAGATGGCGCCATAAGTTTGCTTTTCTGTGAAAATGAACTAAAGCAGATCATCTTCTATCTATCTATATAAATAAAAATGTAATGTTCGTTTGTTCCTACCGATTCCTTTGAAATTCTGACAAAACGCTGCATTTGAATACGCACGTGTTTTTATACAATATACGTTTCGAAATTCCCTCCACTGAAGAAAGATGGTTAGGATTAAGGCTTACCGTAAAGAACTCTGCTTCTATTTATAATATTTTAGATGCGGTTTTTTGCGTTTTAATAGGGTACGTCAACAGAATGTACACTAAGAAAAAATTTTTCGAACTGTTATAAATTTATAATAGATACATTTCGGGCCACAACAACGCGTGGCGGGGTCTGCTACTTCGAATATAAATTCGTATATCCAAATTCCCAATGGAAGCGCTGTATTGACGAATACGCGATAGTTTCCACAGCGAAAAATATTTGAATGATGTAAAGGAGCAAAATTATGCGATCCGCGCATCGCTATACAGAGCACTAACTTCATGGATCGTGGGTGCTACACACCAAATTATCGTATAACGCTTCCAATGATTAGGTTTCTTTATAATTTCTACAGAAACACAGCTTCCCTATGATCAAATGTTACCTCACGCTACTGGTGTTTTTTTTAAAATGCAAAGACAAAAACATATAATATAATTCCAATTTAAACATAAGTTATTTATCGTATTTTTACAGACACTTGGCAAATCACAGAATTAAATTTTATTCAGTTGATACGTGTTTCTTTCGTTTATACGCGTTTCGGGCATTTTTTGCCCCTTTTCAGCACTACTAAAATAAAAGTTCAAAAGTTACAACAGTTTAAACAAACAAATAGTCTATATAACGTTATGTTATTTTAAAAACATGCATTTTTCATGACTTTAAACAATTTTAAAATTTCTTCCATACACTTAAAATCACATTTAAATTTTACATACTAGTCTTTTGAAGAAACGTATTTCGCTGACCTTTCCTCCCCTTTTTTTTCTCACCAGTTAAGCCTGCCCACTGTCTACCACACAGTCACATGACTAGTAGGCCACCTTGTGGCAATATTTTTTTAAAAAATTACTTTTCTACATAAAAAATCTTCTTCAAAAATATTCCTAATTTATAAGATATTGAGCCAGTTTTCGTTTATTCTGATACTTAGGTTTTTATTTATACATTTATTACTTTTGAAAATTTTTACGCTTTCTTTGAACTTTCTGTGATATGTTTCTTTTTCTTTGTGGAGTATATGTACTTCATCTTTATCTATTTTACAATCGTTCATGGTGCAATGATCATGAAAAGTAGAATTTTATCTATTGTATTTCAGATCTGCTATATGTTATTTTAATCTGGTTTTTAACTTTCTTTTAGTTTCTCCTATATAATATTTATTATCTTTACAAATTCAATGAATTTTATATACTATATTCTTAGTTTGAATTGGTAATTGTTGTTTTTTCTCAGTGCTGAGCGGTTTAAGCCTTGTATACATTTTTTAGAAGGACGGTGCTAACTTGAAGTTTACATTACTTATATTACTTTAATGGTCCAAATATATGGAACGTTTTAGACATACTACCGAATTTAGACAAAATATGTAGTAATCTTTCAGATATTGATTCAAGTATGATAAAAATGAAATTAAGTAATAAAATTAAAAAATACGTAACCAAAGAAGGAAGAAAATCAACAATTAAAGATAAGAATTACTTTCAATATAAAAATCAAATTACAAAATTGCATAATTTTCTAAGGGAAAACGAAATATAAATCAAAAGCTGACAAATCCAAACAAATCGTAATAGTTACCCAAGAATGGGTTAGAAATAAGAAACAAGAAATAATACAGAATACAAAATTCCGAAAACTTCATATAAACCCTATTGAAGTCATATATTTAGAACTTAAAAAAAGAATTATAAAATTAGAACAACTTGGAGAAATTAATAGAAATGAAAAATGGTTTATATCAAATGAAGGAAATGATCGCACGCCAAAATTAAATGTACAGCTAAAAACTCATAAGATAGGAGAAAAAGTTCGGCCAATAATAGATTTTAAGTACTCAACGCTACATAACTTGGAAAAATTTCTGAAGCAACAACTTAAGCAACACCACAACTCCCAATTTGCAATTAGAAACACAGATGAACTTCTAGACGAACTAAATCAAATTAGTATGGAAGAAAACTTTAAGATAGCAAGTCTCGACATTATAGATATGTATCCGTCAATAACGTGGGATATAATAGAGGATAAATTAAAAAATCTTAAAGTTAAAAATGAAATAATAAGTTTAATAGAATTTGCATACAGAAGTAATTATTTTGAAGCTGATGATGATTTTCATACACAGACAGTTGGAATACGCATGGAATCAGTAATAGGACCAAAATTAGCAGAATTAATAATGATAGATATAGTTAACAAAATTAGTATAAGAGGCATAAAATTTTATAAAAGATATGCGGATGATATTTTAATAATATACAATGAAACTGAAATAAAGATAGAGGAAATCAACAAACAAGTTAATAATATACAAGAAGTGATAAAATTCAAAACAGAAATAGAAGATTCATCCAGAAAAGAAATTAACTATTTAGACATTACGATAAAAAGATTAAAACAGAGCTTAGAATTTCGAACAATTTAGAAAGCCAGATTCGAGCCAGATAACAATAAGATATCAGTCAAACGTACCACTTCATGTCAAATATAAAGTATTTAAAATGGAATATTCTAAAATAAAAAACAGAACAAGTCAACAAGTACACATATCTGCAGATTTAGCTGAATTAAAAAAGTAATTTCTCCTGGCGGGTTACCCACAAAGACAGTTAAAAGAATGGGAACTTAAATAATCTTGAAAAGCCACAAGACAATAAAAATGCAAATGGTATATATTATACCGGGTTTCCATACATCAAAGGACTACACGAACAAATTGAAAAATAAATAAGTAATATAAACTTCAAGTTAGCACCGTCTTACCAAAAAATGTATACAAGGTTTAAATAGCTCAGCACTGAGAAAAAACAACAATTACCAATTGAAACTAAAAATGTAGTATATAAAATTCATTGTACTTGTAAAGATAATAAATATTATATAGGAGAAACTAAAAGAAAGTTAAAAACCAGATTAAAAGAACATATAGCAGATCTGAAATACAATAGATTAAATTCTGCTTTTCATGATCATTGCACCATGAACGATTGTAAAATAGATAAAGATAAAGTACAAATACTCCACAAAGAAAAAGAAACATATCACAGAAAGTTCAAAGAAAGCGTAGAAATTATCAAAAGTAATAAATGTATAAATAAAAACCTAAGTATCAGAATAAACGAAAACTGGGTCAATATCTTATAAATTAGGAATATTTTTGAAGAAGAGTTTTTATGTAGAAAAGTAATTTTTGTAGACAATATTGCCACAAGGTGGCCTACTAATCATGTGACTGTGTGGTAGACAGTGGGCAGGCTTAACTGGTGAGAAAAAAAGGGGGAGGAAAGGTCAGCGAAATACGTTTCTTCAAAAGACTAGTATGTAAAATTTAAATGTGATTTTAAGTGTATGGAAGAAATTTTAAAATTGTTTAAAGTCATGAAAAAGGCATGTTTTTAAAATAACATAACGTTATAAAGACTATTTGTTTGTTTAAACTGTTGTAACTTTTGAACTTTTATTTTAGTAGTGCTGAAAAGGGGCAAAAAATGCCCGAAACGTGTATAAACGAAAGAAACACGTATCAACTGAATAAAATTTAATTCTGTGATTTGCCAGGTGTCTATAAAAATACGATAAATAATTTGTTTTTAAATTGAAATAAATTATTGGCACACGGTTTCAAAAACACCAGATATATAATATAATTGTTCTGAGATTCGAAAGTGCCCAAGTGGATAAATATCACTAAATACTAGTTTATTGTGTTTTATTAACAGAGAGATAGAGTGGCCAAAGATTCAATCACGTATTTGATAATGGAACAAAGGTCACTCTCTAGAAAAGATAGTTTCTGAGATTTTTCGTTTCAGGTACCTTATATTTTGGAAAAATATATTAACTTATATCGCCCGTAAAGTATATATACACTGTTGTGTTGTGGCAGTATTTAGTTAACTCAATGACCTTCAGGTTGGTTATTTCAATGAATATCAGGTTTGTTAATTCAATGAATATCAGGTTAATTAATTCAATGAACTTCGGGTGTTCTGTGTTACTCTGAACTTTATATTGTGAAAACCATCATATTGTGAAAACTTTATATTGTGAACTTTATATTGTGAAAACTTTATATTGTGAAAACCAACCATTACAATTCATATGTTGTTAAAAAGAAATATAATGTCATTGTTAATTTAAATATACAATAAAATGCATAAATATTTTAACATATTTACCTTATTTAACACTAAAATTTTACTCGCAGAGTTTAAAAATTGTATTTGATGTGTAACAAGAATACAAATCTTTTCTTTCAAATATTCCATTATACATCTAAAATAAAGAAAAAGTTGAAATATGATAAATTTTTCCTACAGGGGTTGCCAAACTTTTCACAGCCGGCCAGATAACGGAGAAAATGATGAACGCAAGTCGCGTAACCATTTTCTTTAATATAGTATACCGAATACACAAGATAAAAACACAACCAACGTATTGTTTACCAATACACAAGCACAATCGCTGCAGCAAGCTCTTAATCGCTTTTCTTAGAAACTCCATTGTAGGTACTAACACATAAAAGCGCTCTGATATTCAAAGTTGCAAACTAAGCGCTGAATTTTTCATTTCATTGATTTTCCTACAAATTATATTACTGCGATATGCAAAAATCAGATTGGACGAATTTTGGCACTTTTACTTACACTTATTTTAATTTTTTCTACATATTAGGTAATTTACAATCAATGATATTTTTATACAAATAATTATATTTTAGCTCATTTGTGGCATATTGTGGTGGTGGATCAAATGAACTGACCTCACGGGCCGGATCTGGCCAGCTGGCCGTAGTTTGGTGACCACTGAATTAATACGAAAAATAAAACTTAAATATATACTTTTCGAATATATGTTTTGCTACTGGAACATCAACAGCGCTTAATGGATCATCCAGGAGGAATATATCGGCATCTCGATATAGTGCCCTGGAAAATTTAAAAGTATAATGTTTCAAGAAAACAAATTTTGAAAAAAAAATGCAAGAATTATTTTCTAAAAATAAGATTAAAACTGTATTTTTATAGAATTGTATAACAGTTAAGTTATGTTTTCTTATTTAAACACAACTCTTATTTCTACCCCTGTTTTCACTGGGGTAAAAATAACAATGTAATAATAATAAAATGTAAATGTAAAATTGCAAACATTTATTCGTTCGAACAAAACGTACATATAACCATTTCTTATCTGATGCTTAATAAACGTTTAAGTGTGGTAGTATATAAGATGGAAAAGTGCATCAACAAAAATTTAGGGTAATAGAATATCATATATCTACTACTGTATCGCAGCGTTGTTACAAACAAATTTTCGGATTGGAATAGGATCGAATGTGTCATCGACCGAGAATGAATAGTTACTGCTTCGGGGGTTAAAACTGATAAGAGAGTGCATATACACGGGTAGGAAAAGAAAGCACTACACTTCTTGCTGAGACGTCAGTAATAGTGGTTTGAGCAGCTTTGATCACAAAATTCATTTTCTAATTACAAATTTAAATTAAATTAATTTTATTTTAACAATAAGGAAATTTTAATATATTATTTCTAATTATTTTAAATTAATTTGCAATAATACTTTCAGATCAAAAATCTCTCTGATAAATTAAGATTATAAATATTTAGAAAACTTTTCAATTCAGTTCACTTTAGTTTTCATAAAATATCTTATAACAATAAGACAAAGTTTCTGTATTAGTTATTAAATGTTTTAATATCGAATAAAATTAAAACATAATAACTGTATGAAATAATATAAAAACAAAACAAAATTCTTTTTGAAATTTATTTTGACATTTAAGTTTATTTAAGTGTTTTCACTTTTTCCTTCAGTTTATCTAAAGCAAGAAATTTCTGCACGTAATAATTTTAAAATTAATTTTTTTAAGATAGAAATGAAGATTATAAATAATATTAATATTTAGGAAACTATTCAGTTCAATTTATTGCTTCATATAAAATTAATTTGCGATAATAATTTTTACAATTTGTTCTAATATCGAAGTAAATTAAAACACAACATAAAATAATATTATAACAATAAGGCAAAGTTTAATATATTCTTTCTATTTATCATATTTATTCTTATAAAATTAATTTACAATAAGCATATTTTTCAAATCAAATCAAAGTTTATTTATTGTATAAGGCTTTCGCCTGTTACAAGGGCGTGATTTATTTATACAGTATATTCATCCGCCACCATTAGAACCTTTTTCATATAGATAATTAACCTTAGTTATCTAATATGTAGTACATACATTTACTAATTTACTCTACGTTATTTATTCACAAGTTGCTTCATACAGTTATATAACTTAAAGATAGTATTGGTGTCTGCTTTGTCAAGGAACTTATACATATCCGTTTCATTAGAGCAGTTAACTAATCGAGCAATATCAGAATTTTGAATGTTCTCATTTCCGTTGCGATTTTCACAAAGAATATGAAATTTTGATAATGTCTTACTGCAACTTGGGCATTTGGTCTGAGAGTAGTCTAGGAATTTATACCAGTAGTCTAGGAATTTAAAATTATTTTATACCAACTTATATTATTTCGTTTCTGTATGTCATCGATATCTTGGACAATAGAGTTTTCCATTACTCTTTGTATTAATAAATTATTTTGCTATTCACTGATGTATGATTGATTCATAAATAGTCTCATCGAAAATCCGTATGTGTTAAATATCTTCGATAGTTGTACCATTCAATTTCGTTTTAAATCTGTGATCTTTGATTTTTGATATAATACATTCCGTAATTTTGTTGTTAAATCTTCAGCATTTATAATTTTTTGTAGAAATTTTATATACCTTTTTATTAATATGGTGTTTAATTTATATCTACTTAGTTCCATTCTTAGAGCACTGCCAGGAATATTGTATTCTAATTGGAAAATTCTACGAATAAAAGTATTTTGTATTTTTTCATAATTATTGAATTTACAATAAAACCAGAATTGGGAATTCAATTCAATTGGCAATTGAATTCAGCAAACTGAAGAGAAAAATTCAGCAAAATTCATTTTTATAATGAATCTATTTTTAAAAAATTAACAGTTAGACATAAGAATTTGGCAATTATTTTGTAGGGCATATATCTATCATATGAAAAACAAAATATTAAGGAATTACAATCGGGAGTTCGTTTTCTTAGAATTTAATATTCTTTAAACTCTTTCCTATTTATATTTAAATAACTACTCGTTAATATAAGTTCAAATGTATAGAAATTAATTAAAATATATTTAAAACTAATCTAATTGTTCATACTTTAATATATAACTAATACAGATAGTGTTACAATTTTATTATGTTTTTAGTTAACTTAATAAACTAAGTTGTTTTTAAAATAAATTACCTTATTGTTGTAAAATTTATTCTTAAAGTTTATTGATATCTCACCTCGATTTAAATTATTATATGAGTTCATAATTAAAAATATGAAAATGTGTATAATCAGAGTTTCATTTTATAAATTTAATATCTTTAATTAGAGTTTATCAGTTAAATAAATATTATTTCAAAGAAATTATGGTTTAGTATAAACCATATAGTAATTCAAAGTTTAATAAGTTGGTTTGATCACACAGTATAAATTTGATTTGAAGAAAAACACTTTTTCAATATTATTATTGCTACTGTACAATTTGAGTTAAATTCTTATACTTTATAATCTTTTACTTTCATTTTATTTTAATAACTAATTTTGAGAACACAAGTTTCATTTTAATTCAATTACAATATAAATTTTAAAAATTGTATTTTCATAGATTTCTGTTAAATTTAAGTATAAATACACCCAGTAGAATCAATGATCATTCGCAAGCTTAAGCATTTAATCGGTTGTAACAAGATGAGTTGTAAGAATATTTTCTTTTATATCTATACTTGATTGATATATTTTTAAAAAAATTTACAATATATAGTTTTTTTTATATGTCTCTATTTAATTGATATATTTTAATATAAATTAGATTTTGTACACTCAAAAATACTCAAATGGTAAGTGTTAAAGTTATTTTTTATTAAAACTAATACTGTTTATTATAATATAGTTTATGATATAGGAGTTATCATTGATTTNGTTTTTATAGATTTATGTTAAATTTAAGTATAAATACACCCAGTATAATCAATGATCATTTGCAAGCTTAAGCATTTAATAACTTGTAACAAGATGAGTTGTAAGTATATTTTCTTTTATATCTATACTTGATTGATATATTTTTTAAAAAATTTACAATACAGTCGACCCCCCTATAACGTACGTTCTAATAACGACAATTCCTATAACGTAACGAAAAAATTGTCATTTCAATTCAATTACAATATAAATTTTAAACATTATACTTTTATAGATTTAAGTATAAATACAGTTACTAGAATCAATGATAAGCTTAGGCATTTAATAAGCTGTAACAAGATGAGTTGTAAGTATATTTTCTTTTATATCTATACATAATTGATATATTTTTAAAAAAATTTACAATATATAGTTTTTTTTATATGTCTCTATTTAATTGATATATTTTAATATAAGTTAGATTTTCTACACTCAAAAATACTCAAATGGTAAGTGTTAAAGTTATATTTTATTAAAATTAATACTGTGTATTATAATATAGTTTCTGATATAGGAGTTATCATTGACTTTGAAGCTTTCACGATTCAAGATGAAAATCTTCCATTCAACACATTATGTAGACAAATTGGGTTAGCAGCAAGACATAAAAACGATTTTGGGAAGATAGATTTTTACAATCAATTTATTACTTTTGATAATTTATCACCACGAGATAAAAAATCTGTTACATTTGGAAATTTCTTACACGGCTGTATTTATCTTATTAAAAACATAATTTTGGATATCGGGAATGTCATAGTAAAGTATATGAAATTTTATTTAATTTATATAAAAAGTATGATATAATTTATTACAAGGGA